CACTCTATGGTGACGAGTGATGACCCGGGTTGCTCTAGACGTAAAGGTTTACTGAGTCATATCGATAATGTTGTTGAGACAAACATAGATTTGAGTGGGTGCTTGTTTTTACTCAGCAAAGTTAAACAGAGTGTGTGCACATCAGTATCCATGAGTCTTATTCAGCATTTACATGGAACATGTTATTATTATTAATCTGCCGGTATACATGATCGTAACAGTATCCAGGTTTCTGATCGTCTGTGTGCAGTTGTGTTTTGATTCCTGAACATCTCAGTTGAGAAACCACCTGGATCATGTGTTTTATCTGTCGCAGCATCATGGTTTTATATCGGAGTACTCCAGCTACAATATTCAGGTTTCTTAACACTAGGAACTTATCCAGGTTTCTGAAACACTCCACGATAAACCGAAGGGATTCCAATAATATCTCAACTTAATGTAAAAACCTGAGAATCTACAATCTATATATTTATTTCTTAAGATGTAAAACCTCACACAGAGTTTTTCTTCTTGTTCCTACAGTGTGATGTCTGAATGATGTCTGTGCACAGCTCACAAATCACAAATAGTTAGGAAGTCAGTCCTGGTCCAGTATACAACTCTTACAGTGTGATATAGAAACTAGAAGACACCAGTGCACATCCACTGAGAATGGACTTTACAGTGAAGAAGGAAACATCTTGTGTCCAGCAGGAAAACGTTAGAAAGCATGTTTATCAATACTTGAATTATACATTTTAAATAAGGTAGAAGGAGTAGATCCCTTTTTAAAGGATGTTAATGTGGAAATTATACTTTTTTTTGTATCAGACTCACATAATTGTTCCAAGCTGATCATTTGTATATAGGTCTTAATAAATGTTTGAAAGGGATTCTTTATATGAATCGTCTCCGATAGCCTTCAACATTTTAAAAACGCCTCACACACGACATACAGCTAGCTACACTTTCCCACATCTAGCCAAGTGTGTGTGTGAGTGCGCTTCTGGCTGCACATACACAGTAAGTCTAAGTACAATCCGTTCCCACTTTATTAGCTACACCTAACTGTAATGCAACAGTCGTGCAGTAAATCCTACCTTTGACCTTGAGGTTATGTTCAGTTTTCAGTGTTTTAGAGGGGTGTTGATCCGATTATTTTGGAGGCTGCAGTTTGTGGTGTTGTTGGTAAGACAGTTTCAACAAACAGTGGACATTATAAACTTCATTGAGGTAGGTTGTTGTATTGGACTGCATTAGTTTCAGCTATGTGTATGTGTCCCTGGTGGTTGCGCCGGCAGTAACATGGCATTTCACATCTGTAGAAACTGTGTCAAGATCTATGAAATCAGCACAGACCAACACTCTTACATAAAAAGTGTTTACCTACAGCTCTAAATCCACCGTGTGCAACCTTCGAGCTGATCTCCGTCACCTCTCTAACCCTCTCCTCCTCCCTCCCCCCCATCCCTCCTCCTCTACCTGTCCCGTCTACCTGTGCGGAGGTGCACTGCTGGTTAATCTCCAGTTCACCCCAGGGTCTAGTGTTGCAGGGGGGGCATCCATTATTCAGCTGGCCTGAACAATAGAGGCCAGACTAGCTCCACAGCTGCCATGCAGAAGATAGATAAGACAGCACACCAAATTATTCATGATGGAGGAATGGAAGGATAGAGAAGCTCGAAGATAAATGGGAACTAATGAAATCATAGAGTACCAGTGGGACATGTGACAAAGAGAATAAATGTTTCCAAAAGGGCCGATTATCATAGGTGGATCAAATAAAAGCCAACTGTCAAAAAGTCCATTGATGATAAGCTATTACATGCAACAAATAAAAGGTTGTTCAGTGGTTCATCGGTTAGATAAAATCAAATCTTAGAGGCAGTGGTTTTAAATGTTTATCTCTCAACATCAACTGTCAATTTTACAAGACACCTACAATCAGGTCAAAGCCACAGTGCACAGATAACAAGTCTAGTCTCTTTTTTCCCTACATGGATCAAAGTTTTATCACAAACCTTTTTTGTTTTTCATCCAGAGATATGTCAAACAATCCAATCTGCCTTACTTTTTAGAGATTTTGAACATAATTTAGGTGAAAAGCATCTCACTTTTGCAGCCTAATAATTTCTACGTAAGACTGTTTTAGGGAAGAGTTTGCAGCCCTTCTTTTAAGAGTAATCTGAGTCAGTCAGGAATCAGGTATAAGTTTTCCCAACCGGGGCAATTGAAAGCATTTATTTTGCTTGGATGTATACAGAGAAATGCTGTGTGTGTGTGTGTGTGTGTTGGTGTAGTGTGTGTGTGTGTGTGTGTGTGTGGGTGAATTAGATGTGGTGTGTGTGTGGTGGTGTGGTGTATAATCTATATTGTGTGTAACATGAATGTGCACAGGTCTGCTTGTGTATGCCTTCTGTCCTGTATCACGGATCTGGAGAGGGGCAATCATGTGGAGATAAGGCCATGAGGCGTCTGTGTGTACTTAGACGGGAGCAGCACGGAACTGTCCATGAACTGTCAGAAACTCTCACACACACACACACCATATGGTGCCACACCATATAGCGTCTTGTCAAATCCAACAGGAACTTCTGAAGTTAAAAGAGAATTTCAGGTCACAGTTGGGAAAGTCTACTTGTTTTCTTCTTTGAATGCAGGGCAGAATAGTTGTGCACACATTTACAAAGCTGTTGTGTAGCTTTGATTTTAGCACATTATAAATGTATTAATACAACAGAAAATAATAGCATAACATAGTTATAGAATATATAACACTAATATAATGTTTTAATTCCAATATGTATATGTGGAGTGTTTCATCTGATCACGTCCTGCATAATAGTTTGGCTGCTGTTTATTTCAGCTTTATTTATATCGGTTTACTTAAGTTTTGCTTATCCTTTATAAGCTACAGTTGATATAACAAACCCACTTGTGTACTCACACACACACACCCAGGAACTGAAAAACTTGAAAAACTGTGGTTTTGAGTTTGCTGACAGGGTGTATTTCCTGGAAAACAATGGCCCTTGGCCCCATCCTTGTCATATCACTCATTACTCTCTTGTAACATTGGGCCGGCTGAGGAGCAGACTGTCCAGCTGTCGTGGGGCATCCTTTTAACTCTGAACTAAGAGATTCACACACAGACACACTGTAGACTTACAGATGGAGAAGCACAACGGCTATGAGGGTCCACTCCGGAGTTTTGTGGATGATGTTAGTGTTGGTGAGCCTGTGGTGGTAAGAAAAAAAAACACTGAGTGACCTCCTCCAGGCAGCTGTCAAACATCACTTGATTCTTATGATAAGTAAACTAGGAAGGATAAAATGCATAAGGCTGAACCAACCACCACAAACACTGCCTGCAATAGTGCAGTGATGTATGTCTGTGTGACAGCGCTGTGTATATTCTTTGGTTTAAGCCTCTTGTCAGCGGGGCCTCTGACAGCAGAATTCCTGGAAGCAGGACTGTGGAGGTCGCACTCACAACACAGTGATTTAATAGCACTCCTGTTGAAAACATCCTAACCAGCCAATGGGAACACAGAGTATGTGTATGGCAGGAAATGTTCAATGCTGGTGCAAGTCTGAAAGGTTTTTTTAATAAACCATTTTACTGACTTACTACTGGGCAAGGAAAATATTTATTATACTTCTATTATGTAACACGTTAAATTAAAATGCTATAATGTAAATAATAGCACAAAAGACCCTCGGTACCCCCACACAGGTGTTTTCACTCGTTTTGTCTAATTAGCCTCCTCCTCTGGACATTGTGGGCGTGTACAGACTGAGCTTGACTGACGTATCACTGACCCTGTTAGTTTTGTCGCACCTTTCAGCCATCAAATCAATGGTGGCTGAATTCCATTTAGCTGCTACAGTTGTGCATGCTGGCTCATTGTCACACTGCAATGGGCTAAACAGACATGTAAACAGAATTACAAAAACATGTAATACTGTATGTAATGTATGCAACAACACATCAACACAGAGTGCGTGTTTTCTACATGTATCTATTATATTTATCTCAAGCAGATTGGGCCAATGTTTTACTGACTTGCATTTTTTTTTTTTTTTTT